ATCTTACATATATGTATAATTAACTAATTAATAAAAGAGATAGAGGATAGACCTCTCTTTAAAAAAAAAAAAAAAAACAACTAGCTAGAAGCCTGCAAATTGCCTATTTTTGAGGCCCGACCCAGCCCGCAGTTAGGGTTAAAAAATTTTTTTAGGCCCGGCCCGGCCCGCATTTAGGGTTACCATTTTTTGCCGGCCCGCATATGTTAATTTTTTTCTTCAGCCCGGCCCGGCCCGCACTAGCCCGCAATTATAAAGTTTTGCAAATTTTTCGGCCCGGCCCGCAATTATAAAATTTTGCTTCAGGCCCGGGCTGCGGGACCCAATGCAGGCCTCTACAACTAGCCATATATGCAACTTTTAGTTGCCTATTTAAGTAGTCTATTTAAAAGTTCTACGTACACTAAATGTCATATTTGCAATCTACAATACTAGAAACGAAAACCTCAAGAAAAAATTCATATAATCGGTAAAAATGCATATGGTTTATTTGATTATATACACATCTAAAGATAGACGCATATAGAATAGGGTAAAAGTGGTGTTCACTACTAAAATAAAACTCAAGTACGCTTTAACCAACCAAATCAACTTAAGGATATCTTAAATATAAAACTTGGATCTCTAACACGAACAAAATTGCCTTGCTTCAAACACCTAACCCGAAATCTCAATCTTTAAAAAATAAAAGTTGATTGTTATAACTGTTTTTTTAATACACTTTAAATTCAGACGAAGCTTTTTTTTTTCTTTACCTATTTCAAAAAGTAGTGTCTAAGCTAACTCTTCCAGGAAAGAGATCATAAGAGATTAATTTTGGAGTTAACTTTCTAACGTTCTTTTGAAGCTAGAAATGATATTAGTGCCGATCTTTTACTTGTGTAATTTTGCGTTCTCAAAAGTACTTTAAAAAGCGTACGTATAAATAAATCATCTGGACATTGGGTTACACCAGCCAATCAGACGAATTTCAGCCCATGAAGTTTCTACAGCTATTAGAACTTAGACGACAGTGAACACATAAAATCATTGTTCGAATTGCTAACTTGCAAATTATTGCATTTTGCAAAAAGATATCGATTTTAATAATTTTATCAATTTCAAAAAAAGATAAACGTAAACCTATCGAAAATATAAAACAATAACAAAAATTATGTGGCCACCTTTTATTTGCAAAAAAAAAACCGTAATTGTTAAGATTTCTCAGTAGATTTACGAAGAAATTTAAAAAGTACTCTGATATCCAAATTTTACTAAGAAACTTCGCAAATTTACGCTAAGTAACGTTGCTAAGCGAATCATTCTGGTTCTAATGGTGATTAAATAATAATCCAAATCAATTACTGTAGCCCGAGATATTGTAAACCGTGGGTTTGCACAAATTACGATTTTTGCATAAATTTATATAAAAATCGTAAATTTGAGCAAACTTACGATTACAATATCTCGGGCTTCAGTGATGGATTTTGATTATTATTAATCACCATTAGAACCAGAATGATTCGCTTAGTAACTTTACTTAGCGTAAGTTTGCAAAGTTTCTTAGTTAATTTGGATGTCAGAGTACTTTTTTAAATTTATTCGAAAATCTACAGAGCAATCGTAAAAATTACGATGATTTACAGTTTTTCAACCGTCGAATTGGTTTTGCTAGTACGTACTGTACGTACAACTTACGTAAATCGTAATATAGTTTTATGTGATATTATCATTGGCAAGACTACTCGCAAAGAGCTTTTAGCTAACACTATTTTTAATTACTTTAATGGCACCTTGCTTTTAGTTTAATGAAATACTCTGCAAGTCATGTATACGCATCAATTTCGATGGTTTAACGACACATTCATGACCATCATGTTGGTTTTTAAAATATTATGCAATTATTGTAGGCAAATTTCATTAAGAGTGAAGAATTCGAAATTTAAAATGATTTTATTACTTATAACATTTACAAGAAAACCATTGGAGCATAGTATAATGTAGCATCCATTATTGTAAAAAAAAAAAGCCATATTCATTAATTATCATATCTGATATCCGATATAAAAATTTATTTCCTCTGGATTTTTAATAAACAAATGAAGATCATTGAATGTCTTTTATTTGCTAGCTTTGAAAATTTAGAAACAAAAGTAATAAAAGTGCCATATTGAATAATCCTTATTTGCACGAGCAGTTTTTCTCATTTTAAAGCATTGACGGACCCATCAAAATTGTGATTGATGCAGTTATCACTGAGAAAACAAAGTTACATATTACAGATAATTATAAAAATTCGTTGCAAGGCGTCGAATCTAGAAAGAATTTAATTGTCTTCAAAAGAAAGATTTAAATAATAATTCAAATAAAAAATTTAAAACAAAAATAAAGTACATAAATTGTGATTTATATAAATTCTATCAAGCAGAAAATTATAAATAGCTTGTCGTATTTCCTTTTATAAAAGATTTTAAACTGAGGAATCGGGCTATTATTATAGACAGATTCAACCGTACTTAATATACTGTATAATGAAAATTTTCAACCCTTGCTAATATCAACCTCTCATCTAAAAAGAAAAAACAATAAGCTCAAACTATATACAGACTATCTCTTTGTTATCATCCCTCTCATATATCAAGATCGCCCAATCCAAGTAGATTGATATCTGATTTCGTAAATTTTCCTTTTATATATCTAACATCATCCTTTGTAAGTGATGAAATCGTAGTTGGGGTGGCACGAACTCGATGAATTCTGTCTTTACCTATGTCGTTGAAAAATTCGAATACCTTCTGAGCCCTTGACATTTCCTTCTTGAAATCAGTGCCGGCAGTAAAATGACCGTTAACTTCTGAACTAAGAAGCTCTCGAGCATTCTTATGTTTTTTCTCCATAAGATCTTCAAGTCGATCCTGAAGAGCTTTACCAAACTTGAAGTAATAAAGATTGGTGCGATTTTCGGGGTTTTCCATTTGTTGGCATAGTTCCTTAAGAGATTCAGGAGGAACGACACCGTCATTAAACGTATCTTCGTTCGTTCTAACATCTTCCATTACGTCAGCTAATAAATCATTCAAAATACCGTCAAGTTTACGCAAACGAGCATCCTGAGATGTGCCGGTTTGTGTTTCGGTAACACCTTGTTTAGGTGTCGCCGTTTTACGGTTCTTGGCGGGTGCAACTGGAGACGATGTTATTTTTTCACGTTTATTATTAGGCTCGGTTTCCGGTGGTGACATTTCTTTTCGTTTCTTATTGGATGCAGTTGTTTGTTTTTCACCCTGTTTCGTATTAGAAGTGGTTTCCGATTGTGCCACTTCTTTCTGTTTTTTATTAGTTGAGGTTGGATTCACTTTACTTTGATTTTTATTAGTTGAGGTTACCGGTGATGTCACTTTATTCTGTTTTTTATTAGGTGTATTTTTTTTCGATGTCGACTCTTTCTGCTTCTTAGAAGAGATAGTTTCTGAGGATGTATCTCGATTTTGCTCCTCAGAGGATATAATCTCCGCGGTTCCAGGTGGTACAACTATTACATGGACGTGTCTTGCAGGTGGACTCACGTTCCAGTAATTATTGATAGGGCTAGCAGCGTTGAGTTCGTCTTGACTATCAAGAGTGTAATTGGTTATTTCTTCATCGCGGGAATCGGGAATTTCGATCTTCCATAACCTCAGTTTGTCAGCGACAATATTTTTATATTCAGGTGACCTTACCCTTTTGATAGCACTCTTAAGATGGCTTATATATTTATTGCTTTCAATGTCGACAACGAAGGCGCACGTAGCGGGTTGTCCTCTAACTAGACAGATAAGAGATATTCGTGACATTTGGTTTTTTCTCAGTGAAAAACGATGAGAATATATTATTTATTCACAGCAAAACCACGCTTAGAATATATATATATATTCTATGCATGCTCAATTAAGAAACAATGAATAAAGATAAAATCACGTTGTGTAGCATAAATCCATAGAAGTGTGTTTTGTACAACATTATTATTTTTACAAAATATTTTAGGTTTCTTATTCTGAACTTTTCACAGCCGTTCTCGTAATTTTGGGGCAATAGATAAAAAGTTACTGACGTCAACCAATATCGGTTATCCCAGAATTGGAGAAGGCTGAAATCGATTGTTGCCAATTCCAATGATTTTTTAATACATAACGGTAAGGGATTCGTTAATTCTAAAATAAGATCATAGGGCAAAAATATTGTGGTTTGCATTAGTAAGACGGATACAGATTGAAAATTTAAAAATAAATTTTTTAGCATGATTCAGCAATCTTGTGTTAGGAATCTTTAAAGATTTCATTTACTTAACGAACTCATAATATATCTAAATTATACTAATATTTGAATAACTTCATTTTAAAAAGTGATCACATAAAAATAATAAAAATAAAAAAGGTTATCAAATATACCGCGTTTAATATTTTCATATGGAGAACAGAGAAGATTTTTTAAATTTCCCACAGCATGCATGATACAGATCACATCGGAGAAGTTTTTCCTTTTAGCAGAAAAAAAAAGAACCAAATAAATTAAAATTTTATCAAAATAGCCGCTCAGAACTCGAGAAAATATATAATCATATATTTTTTTATATAAATTTAAGTTTGAACATTTGGACAGAATAGGACTTTGAATGAGATATGGCAAAAAAAAACAATATGGTAGCAGAACCGATTATTTATAACTCTGACCAAATTTTCTGATCGTTTGGTCAGAGTTAACTCTAAACTTGGTTAAAAAGATCCGCAAATTTGACCATAGTTATTTGACTCCTAACAAAACATGTCACTAAATTCAATTAGTAAAATCATATAACCTTTTCATCTGATTTTACTAATTGAACTTAGTGATCTGACTCATCATAGGCTAACACTGCCTAATAGTACTTAGTCCTGTTGATCTGAGAAAGTCTTTGTGACTCGCTTATTCAGCGAAACAAATAGATTTAATACCACCTTCAAACAAATATCATTATCTGGATAAACATTTATCAATTTATATAAGTTGTACGTTATGAGCAGTGGGTAGATTATCTTTGCTATTTAACAATAATCGTTTACTCGAATTAAAAACCAGTCAATTATAATCATCAGAAAAATTAAAAACCAGTAAATCTCTAAATTTTACGATTACTCCATAGATTTATGAACAATTAGGAAAATGCACCTATCTCCAAATTTTGTTAATAAACTTTACAAACTTACATTTAATAAAGTTGTCCAGCGGATCATTCCGATTCTAACGGTGGCTAAATCATCAAAGTTGGTTCACTTTAGCCCGAATTTTGTAAATCGTAAGTTTGCACAAATTTACGATTTTTACATAAATTTATGCAAACTTACGATTTACATAAGGTGAACCGATTTTGATGATTTAACCACATTTTTATATAAGTAGTTCGAGTTAAATTTTATGCTTGTTTTCAGGATCATCTGATTTTTTTATTAAGCTAATCACTGTATTGTCAATGATAAATCAATAAATTGGCTGAATGTTCGAACATAAGTATGCTAATCTTTGTTTTACTTAAGGTAGTTTGTTAATGCAATTAGTTGAAGTAACCCTTTTAATGATTTTTGCTTCAATTTAGAAATGTGGAGTAACTCTGTTAAAAATATATATCTATATATTTATAGGAGGTTATAGCTCCAGGTTTTAATCACCACAAAATTTTTTAGCCAATCAGTCATTCGGTAAGCCCGTTGAAAGAAACTCTTGAAAATATCTTAAATAAATTCAGATAAGAAATGTCTTGGGAAATGATGTGATTTATTGTCAAGAAGTGGTTTGTTGGTGACATATTTATAGAGCAAATAGAATTCTGTATATCCGATATGTGTTTATACTTTATTGAGAATTGGACTTGGGGACGCTAAGTTATCATGATAATGACTACGTACACTTCATCCTCAGTTGTCCGAATGACATTATAGGAAAGCAATTATTTTTAGTTTCTATAAATACGTTAAAATTATATAAATTATGCGACAGAACTTTATAAAAAAAAAAAAAAATGCAATACCATACATATCACATATGTTGTTAAAAAAAAAGAATTGCTTTTAAACGGATAGTGATTAGTGATAAAATGGGTTATAGTAATATGAATTATCCCAATGATAACAATGATAACAATGATAACACTCTCAATATTGGTATATGCAACTTACGTGTAAATCTGAGATCAAACTTCCCTTCATGACAACTTCGTGCAGCTATCCATCGCGACAGATAGCCTTTATTTAAACACTCTAAATTTATAATAATGCCCTTTATTTTGGTATTTCAAATTATATAAAGAACACTAACAATTAGAGCTATCTAGTTTAAATTTTGTGACTTGAAAGGTCAAATTCCGCGATGCTTAAGTACGTCAATTACTTTATGATATTAATACTCAATGTGATGAAATGAACTTATGATAAATAGTAATCATTCATATTCATCTACTAACAAATGCTGAAATTGAATAAAGTAATGGTAAATCTTACACAATTTGAAAGGTTTATAACATATTTCGTGTAATAACGCCCATGTGCATTATTTCGAATTTTGAACGAATTAAGCCAAAATTCGAAGTTACGTCTGTGCTTTATTACGCGAAAATACAATAATAATTGTGACGAATTAAAATTAAATCAGATTAAAATGAAATGAGTGATAATGTCAAATAGACAAGTCATCGAATTTATAATAAGCAAGTATAAGTAGGTTTTATGATCAAATAGAAATCTCTCATTTCATTTAATCCGATTTCATTATGATCCGCGACAATAATTATACTTACCCACTATGAAATTGGATAAAATGATTGTGGATGTTCTCTTCAATTCATCTACTAGTAATCAAGACGTTGCACAATCACTTTAACTAATTAAATTAATCTTTATAAACCTTATAACAATTTGTAGAAAATTCATCGTTTAAAATGTTTTTTGACTATCATGATTAATTTGTTTAGCCAATAAGAGCATCAGATAAACAATAAAGAATAACGCTTGAGGCAATCTATAAAATAGTAAGCATTAATATGCTTGAATGGGTTGAATAAGATTAATAATTGTGATGTATAGTTAGTCAAAAGTAGTATTATGTCCTGCCACTAAAGGTTAGCAAAATGCTTGTATTAGTAGACCATTCTTACGAATATATGGTTCGCAAAAAAAAAAAAAACCCCCTATAGCAAGACTTTTCTATAAAAAACCTACCTTTAACATGAAAAGTACAATATTAACATTCTTCCTAAGCCTAACAACTATCAGAAAAGAAGACACGTAAAATTATATCTTATAAGCCTATTAACCATATACATATTTCTATCGTACTTTTATTTTAATCAAAGTCATAACTTCGCGTAGATGTGAAGGTGATGATTCACTTCACAAAGTGTTTACCGACGTTTAAAGTAACTAACCAACAAAATTCTGTCATTGCTATAACCATAATATTCCAAGGACTATGCCAACTTTAGGAAAAGCTTATACATGAACGTATTAACCAGCATTTACAAACGTATATTTGTATTTAATTTTACCTATTGTAGATATTAGCATCAATGAACTACCATACTACACTGGGCCTTTATCAAAGAACGAACTTGCTTTTATAATTAGGTAGGGGATTTATCGTTAGGGTTTTCGTGATATCATATATGATGAAATATCTGATTCTGGTTTATCTCGTTTTTTCGGCTTTTGTGTGACAGATGGAAGAATGGAGAAAGATGAGTTTTAAATAAACGTTCTCACCTATAATTAATGATCTTAAGAGTATGCAGTATAACACCAAAATTTTAAAAATATTAGAGTTTCATACTCTGTAAGCACAAGGAATTACAATTATTCGAGGATATTTTTTGATAAAAAAAAATAATTTAAAACTTTATTTCAAAGGATTTTTGGATATTGATACGATCGGGAATGAGAAAAACAAACATGAAAGAAAGTCGAAGCCTCAAGTAATGGAGAATGGAAATGAATATTTTGAAGAAAATTTTCATATATAAAAAAATGACCAGATGATTGAAACTATTTTAGAATTCTAAAGTTATAAAACCAAGAAATTAATTACTTTTATATTGCCTTATATAAATTTTCGAACTAAGTTTCATAACCCTTATGTTTACTATACTATTAACACATCTAAAAAACTTACAAAATCTAAACTTTGGTTATTCTCATATTACAACAATAAGATTATTATTAGAAAAATATGAAAATAATTTTCTTTATCTAATCATTACTCTATCACTTACTGGACTTCCAATATAGATTTAAATTACTCAAAATTCTATCTTTTATTCTCTGCTGAATACAAATGATGTACAGAATGTTATCTTAATTTTCATAAAATTAATCAAACTTATACTATCAAAGTTTCTATTATTATTTTAACACAATTCCTTAATAAAACTAATTTCAAACACCAATTCAAGCTTAATACAAATTACTTGGATCTTATTTGTTCTATTGCTATCAAGTATTCAACTTGTATTTTTCCTCTACTTACTATTTTTATTTCTAATTCAATTGTTTTTGAAATCTTTATTTCAAATAAAATTATTAATAAACTTATATTTATTTTTTATTTTAACTATTTTTATCAATAATTATCTTTTTATATTAATGGTTCAATAATTAATATTAATACTAACTAATATACAATGAGTATTGGTTGGATTCAAGTTGATAATAATAATCAAATTATTAACTCTTTTTCTATTAAAATATAATTCTAATCCTCATTATATAAAGCTAAATTCTTCTTAATTATTATTATAATTTTAATAACTTTATACAATTCAGTAATTAATATT